GAAGTGTAAGATGTGAATGCAACGAAGCAGAAGGCCAGAAAGAGCTTCTAGTGAATGCACTCCAAGAACCAAGTTTGAGCATCCCCGTCGCCAGCATTCGTGAAAGACGTCCGTGGGCAATTCGAACGCGTAGCAGCCTTTTCGAGTTTTCGAATTTCTAATCAAAACGAAAGCAATACTTCAGTTCTTTTCACTATTATCGTGGATAATGAGTCTCAAGCCAGTGATTTATGGCTGAAATAGAATCATGATTTTTCCGCGCAAGATTCCTTTAAGCGAAGTTTAAGTCCGCCTATCTGACCAAACTTGGATTCGATCGAAACTCATAAGACATCGTGCAAAATCTTAACTCCATAACGGACGGCGTGCGCCACATGGTGGCGCACGATATTTCTTTTGTTTTTGGAATGTTTCTAGCAATCTTAATATACCCATATATACTCTCAGCAATGTGGAATAACATATCTTCCCAGGACCTGGACGGCTGGATTTTTGACAAACCTACAATAAATTTTACATACATTTGTCTTAATTTACAACTTTTTCTATTTGATGGATGGCTTACCCATGGTTCGTACGTCGCCGAGACCACGACACCTATAGCCACTTTTCCTGCTCAGGGTCGCTGTTTCGCACTGCTCGAAAATGTCACCTGCAGCCTGAATCCATCCTTTGCACACTCGTCTTATTGTTAAAGCGGAAAGACGAGTTACGAAGTGTCGTCGAGGGAAACTGTATCTTTTGGAAAATCGGATAAGAAGACATGCGGTAGACCCGTTTCAAACCCGCTGTTCGCATAAGCCTACACAAACCCTACCTTGTGTCACACATGTGTCATTGGCCGTATTGCGTGCGTGCATACTCGGCGATGCACAAATCTCATATGTGTGACATTTTGTGGGTTTTCGTTGCAGGGACCCACATAGCCGATCTATTGGAAGGGCGCTAGGACTTTCGTTTTCGTATACGAATAATAAGACTTTTTTCAGCGATGAAGAAAGGAGTTGAAGAAGCATGTATCTTTTGTGACCGGTATATAGTAATCAAATCTAGACACTCTCCCTCGACACGCCCTGAATACACCGTATTGGAGAGTCGAATTTTTCTTTCGAGCCTCCAAATTTTACTGAGAAGATTTATATCATACGCTATTCTTCTCATTTTTAAACGTTCTAGGTCTAGATTCTTCAGCGATTATCGTATGAGGGCAACTCATCTAATCTTGTACGGTAACATCTGAAGCGAAGAGCGAGAGACGCCATTCTCCTGATGTATAAAGTGCTAGCAGTTTCTTAATAGCGATTCAGAAATGGAACATTCAAAAAGGAGTTGCTCAAAACGGCGGAAACTCCGATCAACCCAATATTTCAGCGACCCGACGTCGATATTTTCCCTCATCTGGCATGCTTTCAGCCGTAACATTGCAACTATCTTGTGACCCTGTAGAAATGGACACAGGAACACGGTTTTCGTTATCTTCATCCTGATGTCAAGAGCGCGGAGAAGCCAAAACACTCAAACACCTAATCTCACATCTGAAATACCGAGCATGGCACAGCTCACACTAGAAGAACCTAGCATGAAGAAATCGAAAGACTTCGATAATCTTTACCTTTCCGCTGTGGAATACTTTTTCAAAGTATAGAATTCCGCTGATGAAGTGGTTGTTCATAGTGGTTCATCGTTCATAGTTTGTTGAATTCCAAAATGAAACGTCTTATCGGATTTCCTCGTCCTATCGGATGTTGCATAGCGGAAAATAGGTGGTATTTATCCATCAGCCAAAATGTCCTCTTATGAATAGCAGATTTCCGATCGGCAATCCATCTAACAAGCACGAAATTCTTGATGTGTGGATTTTTTCTATACTGGATTTGTGATCGGCATCAGACAACTGTTTACTTTACAAGGACATTTATTTCTTTACACAGCGTGTTCCGAAAGTACAGCTCTACTTTACTTGTCAGAAACCCCTCCAAAACAAAAGAATGATTTCCTTCTAAATCTTTCGCAACAATATCTGAGAGGGGCTCGGTTGATATATTGTGAGTAGATTAGAAAATCTAGGCAAATACACTTTTTGATTATTAAGTTAAGTTTTTAGCTAAGTTAGCAACAACAATAGCTGTAATCTTACAACATACCCCACCTTTCGATAGGATTACTCATATGCTTTGGCGTGCTCAGGAGAAGTCAAAAGACTATTGAAGAAAATTACGCACTCCCAAACGTCTCGGATGGGATTTTCCAGTCATTCCACTTTGATTTTGAAATATCAACAGCTGCCTAAAGGTCTAGAGTGCCTAGAGTTTAGTAGAATAGTGGCGGACTAGTATTTTATTTTTTAGATCACGCCCTGCTCAGACACTAGAAGTCCCAAAGGAGGATCCCATAGGTTGACCTTAAGTCTCAGATGAGAAGACTTCAATTCCTCATCACAATCACGGCCTGTCACAAATTTACGTGAAGGCTCTGTTATTGAGCTGAACAGCAGATAGGGAAGCAGTTTTGGCTAATGTCATGAAGAGCTTGACCACGGAATTCTCCAGTTCCCCAACAACTCGTTAGCTTCATAGCAATACTCCACGATAAGAGCAAGAAAAAACACAAAAAGCGCTTGTTCTTACAAACAATTCTGCTAACCAGGAGAACCAAATTCCAAGTTTTCTCATCTTAAAATTTCGTTACTAATATTCACTGTCTGAGTGCAGTGTTTCGCTACACTTCGCGGTGAATCAAGGTTTTTGGAAACGACGGGACGGTCGAAACGTTGACCAGAATGAATCTTCCACCTTAACAACCTCGAAGGCAGAAGTACATTCACAATTACTAGGAGAACTGTTGTGCATTCAATTTTCCGCTGTACATCTGTGACAGATGCAGCGGTTGGAACTCTTACCACTCGCATCTTAGTGTGCGAGCACTAAAAACTCTTTCGGCATTTTCACCATTGGCAAAGGCATTACCCTTACGAAGCATTCCTATTTTGTTGATCGTTATGTCTCTATTCGCCAAATTTATACTTTACCTTTCCCTTGCCTCCATCCGATCTAACTGGAACTGTCCCCACAGTGTTGTTTTCGTACGTTTATATCTCATCGGAAATTGAATTTCTTGCGCGAATCTTTGTGTGTCCTTTGGCTTGTTATCGCAGATAATGTGCTCAGTTGTGAAGGAATGCAAGAATTCTCGTGGACAATTTAAGACAAATGTGATAGTAGACACAAGGTTTCAGTGGCTAGGTATGGCATCCCCTTGCGAGAGAGCCAAAAAAAAAACTAGATGAGATTGACAGGGTAGAAGATGGAGTGATGCTTTTTGTATGGGGAGAGGATGAAGAAATCAAATACAGTATGCCTAATTTCGTTCGTTACCCCGTGGAACTTCTGAATTGATCCAAAAAAACTGTTGAACTGTTTTCTGTTTTTCCCTCGCAGTAACTCGCTTCTCAACGTTACATAAAACAGTTACTTCTCGGGATGAATTTGAGTGTGTCACAATCCAAGACGGAGCTCATTCGAAACTCATAAACAACATTTTATAGATGCTGAAGAATTGGATTGTACGGATTTATCACCCTCGGATTTGAAGAAATACAAAATTGAACGGTTGTAAAAAAATGCGAAGTTGCTTCGTTTTGTCGTGTTTCGCGGCGAGTACCGTACCTTATGTAAACACGATTCGAGTCAGAAAAAATATTTTTACTGTTTGTTCATACGAAAGTTTTTCATACGAAGGGCATGTCTGTCAATAGTTACACAAAAGCTAATGAACATAAATCTACGCATCGATTCAGCTCAATATTGGACAGTAATTGCTATAAAAGGCATGTATAAGTGAGCCATCATCGTATCATCTCCAATGCACCTCCTACACAACGACTACACATCAACCAACTGGGAAGATGAATCCTGTCGCCTTGGCTGCTGTGCTCTTCGTAGGGCAAGTAGTGATAGGAACTGAGGAATCATGGTGCATACGTCTTCCAAGTAAGAAGTATGGAGACTTTAAGGATGGCCTGAAAGATCTTCTCAAAGACCAATTCCCCGAGAAGGAGTTTGTATGTTTTTCAGAGCTTTTTGTTTTCTGGAGGTGTTCGCATGTTTTTAATGCAGATTGAAGCCTTTCCAGAATAACGAAGATCTAGTATTTTCTTTTGTGGTTACTGGGCTCAACGGCGATCGAAAGACTACAACCCAGATCAGTACCGTCATTCTCTCAAATCAGGTACATCAATTGTAGCACACGTGGCGTAAGCCTCAGATTTTTGATTACTAGGCTTATAAAGTTTTAGTTTGATGATATTCATTCGTTAAAATAGCCTTCTCCAGGATGAGCAAACGCCAACATACTTCACTCGTCGTGAGGGCGGTAGCGAAAATTTATCAATATCAAAAATGAAAGCAAGTGATTTCATTCATAAATACCACAGCTGTAGGGGCCCTGAAACGTCTTCATTGTGAATGTACTTGGAGAAGAGCACGATTTCACAACGCCTGAACATTTATTGCTATTATACATATGTCTTGAATAAATTTTCGCACTTGCGGGACTTGTTAATTGGTTTTTTCGTTAACCACTGTCTTACCGCCGCACTTCGTGTTGCGAATGCCTCACAAGAGTGCTGTCATAGACAATGCTGTCGGCGCAGGCGGGTTGGGCTTCACGGAGACCGACCCTCCTTGAGAGGCAGAGTCAACCCTGCGTTGCGCAAATTATAAAATTTTTACGACCCTCTCCCTTTCAAGGGGTGTCAGTACGACCCCCCCCTAGGGGGTTTGGGGTCAGGGCAGTCACTTGACATGCGTGAGAAGCTGGAATGTTCGATCAGGAAATCCGTGAGCCAGAGGGAGCGTAGAGCGCACCCAAAATGAAAGAAATTGATGTGAAAACCCAGCCAGACACTCTAAAGACTCCACATCTGTAGGATAGAAAGCCACACGAGTAGTCTACTTGGGACTTTTTACAGGACCGAGCACCCAAGAATAAAGCAAAAATCCTCTAAAAAGCGATTTTTCGAGTTCGTTGCTTTCGAAGAATTGTTACAATGGAACCTTCCACCTAATAGCTCTAGATTTCTGTATTTCACACCCTGGATGCAAGCGCAAATAAATGCAACACAAAAGTTTGATTCCCTGAAGAAGGCAGAGCAGAAGGCCTGGAAACATTTGGACACGCCTTAGTTGCGTGCCACCGCACGCCATCCCCTCATCCGAAGGCTCGTGTTAACGGGGGAAGTGGCAGATCTCAATTCTATTCTGGAATTACTTTGAGGTAAGAGTTACAAATACTTCCCAGAAGTTGGTTTGTTCCATCAAGCTACTATGCGTTTTTAACGACACAATGTCTTGGTCCTCATAATTTTGGACCACCCTGTAGAATCGCCCCCACGAAGGCAATGACAGGCGAGGGTGGCGGAGGATGGCCGTGATGGCCGCGAAGAGTTAACCTTGAGGTGAGGGGGAGCGTATCGAGGCCCTCTAGAAGGGAGAGTCGTAACCTTTTTCGAAATCGGTCCAGTGGCGGTTTACCCTGATCAAGCTGCCCTAAAACTTGCAAAATTTGGAGCGCTTTTAGTAAGGATTTCCCTCATTTTCTGATGGCCTAGCTCATTTCAAGTCCGATAATCAAGTCATTCGACGGCGATGGAGTCCTGTGTAAAGAGTAGAACATAAAAGATAGGTCTTCATAGATCAAGCAACCAACTCGGCAGAGCAATTGTCTCTTCCCAAATCCAGAGTGACAGTGCTGGGAGGCTTCCTTTTATCTGACTGCGCGCGCTCCGTTCTGGAATTGGGGCCCAGTTTTTCTCCATCCCAACCCATTTCTACTATCACTATGCGCCAGGTTATATGCAGTCTACATGAACTTCAAGACCGTCTTCGTTATAAGGCTAAGGTTGATAACGGTTCCATCGTGCCAGTAAATTCTAGCAATGAACCTAATGTGCCCTTCCCTCATACGCACTTCAAACAACAAGAGCCCAACGCTAGTTCGGATGTCAGTTTTCGAATTTTCGCTGATGAGGTGTTCAAGGTGTTCAGTAGATTTCAAAGACAACGAATGCCATCAAACATTACCCGAGAGCAGGCAAATGGTCTCAAGCAGCTTCGAAGCCTTGTGAGGGCTCGCACCATAAGGCTGTCTGTCAGTGATAAGGGAGGGGAATTCGTGATTATCCCCTCTCAACTTGACTATGCCATAACAGAACACCACCTAGGGGATATCACGCTTTACAGACCCTCTTCTGCAAAGGAGTTCCACACGCAGTTTCGCAAACTGAATCGAGTGTGGGTTACGGTGGCCAAGTCCGCAGGTTTGAATACGACCTTGATAACACGCCTCAAAATTGAGTCACCTTGTTGTCCCGTCTTGTATCTGCTTGTAAAAACACATAAGTTTTCAGCAGCGGATGACCTATAATCAATTGAACCAAGCTTGGTCAAAGTTAGACCTATAGTCAGCGGCGTGGGAGGTCCCACGGATAGGATTGCTTGGTTCCTCAATACAATCTTGGTGCAGCTACTCAAGTACATACCAGCCCACCTCTGTAACACGCAAATGTTCCTAGATCATCTTCATGCACTACAAGCAGATAGTGCGTGCGTTATGGAATCCTTTGATGTAGAAGCCCTCTACACAAACGTGAGCAATGATTCTGCGATGGAAGCCGTACTGGAGCTTCTGAACCAGCACCATGGCGAGATAAACATGAACGGGCTTTCAGTCAATCAGCTGATGTCACTACTCAAAGAGTGTCTAAGTTGCAATGTTTTCAGATGGTCGGGAAGGTACTTCGCGCAGAACAGAGGCTTAGCTATGGGGCAGCGACTTGCACCTATCCTTGGCCATAGCATTCATGTCCAAGATAGAAACGCCTGTTTTGGAACGTCACCCCATACTTTACTGCCGATACATTGATGATTGTTTTGTAGTTTGCTCAACGCAAGAAGAGATGGATATGTGTTTTGATCTACTCAATTCGCAGTCTGAACGTATAAAACTGACACGGGAAAAGCCTTCCGACGATTGGCTCCCATTTTTGAACATCCAAGTGAGGCTTCAAGGCGGCGTAGTTTCAACAAAATGGTATAGGAAGCCAAGCAACAAAAATATAATTGTCCATTGCCGATCCGCTCATCCTTCCCAAACTAAACGAGCTGTTGTAAAGAACATGTTCCGAACTGCAAGCAACGTTTGCACAGGAGAAGATGAGCGAAAAGAATCGCTCAAAATGGCACACGAGATAGCTGCTTTGAATGGCTACGAGACTCCATTGACTTTCCGCAGGGCCAGAAATGGTGGCGCAATGAGCAGGCCCGATGGTACACAGACTAACAAAATTCCCTTTATGCTTCCATTCGTCTGTGATACAGTTAGCGCCTCTATAAAAAAGTGTTTAAGAAGGTCAGGATTGGAAAATACAGTTGCCATTGTGAACATCCCACCCCATAACTTGAAGCACCGCCTCGTACGCAATCGACTTTACGACCGTCTATGTACCACACCCAATTGCGTAGTCTGTCCAACCGGTAGGGAAGGGGACTGCAACATTTCAGGGTGGTTTACAAAATCACTTGTTCCACTTGTGGGGACGAGTATATCGGCGAGACGGCAAGACCGCTCTGTGTACGTATAAAGGAGCACATAGAGGGCAAGAATAGGTCACGATCATCAACTGCTTTAGGAGCCCACAGGGTTCAAATTCATGATGGGGATGACTTTGAAGTCACAGTTAAGGTCTTGGCTCAAGAATCAGAAACATCTGCACGGAAAACCCTTGAGGCATTCTGGATTCAAGTCAGCAGTCCTAAAATGAATCAGAGGGAAGAAGGCCTCATGATAACGAGGGAGTTAAGACCTTATATAAGATTAGCCTTCCAGTAGTGACTCTCATTTGGAAAGAGTCCGGATTGCAGCTGGTGCTGGCTTTGTGGCTGGTCTAGAAGCCCGGACTGAATTGCGGTAAGTGGTCCTTCTTGGGGCTAGCGATGTTTTGGTTGATTTTGAACTTCTATAAGGTGGCGGCGACGTTTGGTCGGGTTGTCATAAATTGATTAGGCTTTTGCAGGCTCTGACGAAGGCGACCCCGCCGAAACGTTAGCCCATAAAGCTTGTTTATCAACCTCGTGTTGTGTTCATTAGAAGAAAGCTATAAAACAGGAAACTGCAGGAGTGATGCCCTGCTTTGAAAAACAAAAGATGTCCAATCTATTCAAAATCCATTCAAAAATAAGTCGAGATCCTTCTCCCATCCTTTATATAGCTCATATATATCTCTGACGAACTTCCAATTCCCCGCTCTCAAACATAATTCTTAGAGGATGAAGCGCGTTGAGGACTGAGGTACGTCAAAATCGCCTCCCTACATCTTTAAAGCCACGAGTCAGGATTAGGCAACCAGCAGAAGTTCTTCCCAGGGTGCGATAGTGGGCTCCCCAAGCACTGAGGGCGCGACACTATCGCGACCCAAAAGTGCGCGGCAATGGCGCTAAGGCCTTGCCCGCCGCGCTGCCCGCGCTGCCAGCGTAATCCACCACGGCATACGTGGTCTCTGCGTCCTCTCGCGTACGACGTACTATCTCGCGTTCTCCCTCTCCTCGCAGCGCTGTGTCTCTCCGTCGTACTACGGCCGGCCTCCTAAGGGAAATTTAGTGTTTTCTATGGTGCTTTTTGCTTTTTCTCCTCACTAATGTTCCTCATTGCACCCCTTGCCTAATGTTTGAACAAAATAACGCATCAATTCAATCCCGACTCGTGCCTTTAAGTCTGCAATAGTTTAAACTTCCATCAGATGGGGAGGGATTAGTTGGGGTAGACAACAATATCGTAAACATAGTAGTTTTTATTCCAAATCAAAAGATAGTGTTTCAGCAAATCTGTGATGCCCATCAAGTTGTGCGGGCCTCAAAACGGTAGCGATTATGTTTTGACCGACCATAGAGACAGTCGTCACATGTGTTGTGAAGTCTACAAGGCAGACGCAATGACTGCCTGTCACAGTGGATAATACATACTTATTTCAAAGCTATATTTTCACAGCAGCTTGTCTATCGCTCTTATGAATATGCGTATGAAAAATAGGCTTTTTCCTGAAGGCAATTCGCCTTCCTTGAAAAAATTCTGTTTCGTTGTGTTGTGCGTTGTGTTGCCCAGCTACGATCATTTTACAAATAAATATTTATTCTTCCATAATAAGAAAGAACACAAGGATCACAGACAAACTGAACGAAAGTAATCACAAGCACAAAATATCACAAGAATTTGTCGAAAAGGGTAGCCATAGAGACAATATGAACAACTTGGAGAAACTCTATCACGTGAACTATGTCCCCTAAAAAACCCTCCAATAGCGAATGTTAATGTTTTCATGTGGTTTTAAAGCCGTGAAATATGCCTAGAAATAAGATTATTAATAATTCAATAAGTGAATGTTGAATCGAAATCGATGAGAGAGGAAGCGATCAAAGACGACACCCTTCCGTAAGTTATTTGGAAACAGCTCCAGCGATACAAAGTGAGAGAATGTCCTGATTGAAATGGAGGAATCGTAGGAAGTAAAAGAAACACAAAGAAGCCCAGAAAACGCAGGTTTTCAACGGCTCAACCAAATTACCCGTGAATAAAGAAGTGTACAAAAATTATGGTTGCCTGAAGTGAGAACAAGAGCACTTAAACAGCTAAAAATTGGCGAAAATACACCGAAATTGAGGTGCGCATTATAAAATACATTTGAACTACTAACTTTGCACATTTGCGCCCGCACAAGAGCAGCTACATCGTTGTTTGGTCAGCACATATACCTTACTGAGAAATTGGCCCTGAAAAAGGAAACCTCGTTTGTGTGCAATCCACTCGACAGGAACAATTCAAGATGATTTTTACATTTCACTCAGAGAACCCCCGAAAAATACACAAAATGAGGTTTTCCTCTGTGGATGGTTGGAAGGCCTGGGAGACGAACATTTTGAAAAACATTGGGTGCCAAGGCTAGAAAACACGATAAGTAGACGAGGGCATAAGGAGGGCGGGACGGCCGCTACCCTAGTGGAGGGTGCGCATTGTTGTCCGCCTCATTAGTGTCCCTATTATTGCTCGTGTGTTGTCGAACTGTGAACCTGTTAGTGCGAGCGAAGAGTTTTAAATTCAAATCGTGAGCCGGTATGACTTAAAGGCGAGCTCTTCTACAAAACGTTTGCGCTGAAATACGTGTCAATGACTGAAGTAGTGCCCTCAATCTTTGTGAAAACTTAGTTTTTTTAAAGAGAGAGAATTGCTTGAGGCACACTCCAGATCGATTCGGCGAGGTAAGGTGGTCGTAGGGAAATTGTGAAATATCGCTTTGAACGGCAAATAAAAAAAAAAGCCAACAAAGAAACCGCCGATAGACGCTATGACACCTAGGAAGGTTATTCCATTGAAACGACTTCTTAATGATCTCGGCATGAATGTACAGTTGTAGTTGCTTCTGTTCAAGCCTCCGGGATTGGTATATGATTTACTCGGCTTACGTTGTGGAACTCCTTGATATAAAGAGGAGGATATGGTGGAGAGCTGCTCAAACTAGCTTGGTCCACCAGCATTTCCTGCTGGCTTTGCCATCAAAAATGCGTGCAACATATGGCACAATAAAAAGGATAAAGGATAAAGCATTTGCCGTTGATCAATCCCTTTTTGGGATGCGGCACGCATTCTACTTCCATTTGTACATTCGCAGTGGCGTTTGAATGCGATGTGGCCTATACAATGACTTGCGGGGGCCAGCCGATGTACAAGTCAGTGTTTTTATCCTCCCAGACAAGTCTGGTACCAATTAACCGACCCCGGAGGGATGGAAGGCTTGGTTGGCCCGGGCGACTCACGACCCAGGATTTGATCCCGGACCGCTCGCGTGGTGAGCGCGCCACTTGTCACTGCCACTTCCGCCCTATGCACATCATAGAAATACGATATTAGACACATTAAAATAGGAAACCAATCAAAAAAAACCTCAGCAATTTCACAACGCGCTTTACAGTTTACACATATGCACAAGGATCACGCGGTCATATGTCAACCTCATCGGTCAGGTGGGCGTCACCAAAGAAATGGCGGATCTAGACCAGTTTGCATATTCAAAATCATGGCATTATGCGGCTTCAAAGCTGTGTTTTTGCTTCAACGATACTCCGGTTCAAGCAAAACACACCAGCAAAGCGGTAAGAGCGAATTTGTATGTTGGGCTCCCCCACTTTCTTCACGATTTGGGGCGCGGCCGCGGCGAGCGCGGACGAGTCGATAGTGCCCGCGAACTGTGGTGGTGATGCGTTTTCAAATTTACCCACACAGTTCGCGGGCACTATCGACTCGGCCGCGCTTTGCCGCGGCCGCGCCCCAAATCGTGAAGAAAGTGGGGGAGCCAAAAGTGTAGCCGCTAATGAGTGATTCGGATATGCGTTTTGGCAAGGGCTCGTGCATATTGTTATTTCACTAGTAGCCAAAATATGAACCCATCTGGGGATACTGTTCTAAATGTTTGGGGTTGCGTTGACGAATCAGTTACGCTTTTGCCCAGGAAGTTACGACTGGCATCGCTTGAGATAAAAAAGGAGTAATCACCTTGTCGACCACGTGAACATGCCCTTGGAACACGTATTGCATCATTCGATTATCAATATCTGCTTCGCCAAGGAATTCGTAGCCATCATCCTGCAATGTTTCTCTTACAAATCTACTTTTTCGCGATGTTCTAGCATAAAAATACGAATTGTGCTCTTATATCGTACCTGGAAGACGGCCGGTGCTAGTCTTGGACTACAAATATTTGATTGTGCTTTATAAGAGAGCGCTGTGGCCACGTCAAGATTCCTGGCCAAGACCCACACAAACCTAAACAGAATAACCTAGAGATACGTAGGTAATTAAGCACCAAGAATTGAAAGGATTACAGTTATCCTAGAAAAACTGTTCAAACTGTCTGTCGCCGGACTTCCTGGACAACTCAACAAAACGTGCATACGTGTTACCAATGACACAGCCTAGGGTGAATTCGGGTGGATGGGGGTTCCTTGTAGTAGGTCAGGGCCCACTACGAAAATTGCACCGCTCTGAAGTGCAACAAGAACGCCAAGGTCTTGTAAGTGTTGCTTCAACCGCTTCCACTTCTTCTCGCCCGTACCATTCTAGTGTTTGGCGTTCTCTCATCTGCTGTGCTCGCTCGCCTATCCTCTCTCATCCGAGCTGAGTCTACGGATACCCCCAGGAGGCCCGTCGCGCGGCAAGAAGGCAGAGTCGGCGGACGAGTTGCAGCGCGTGGTGTGCGATGTAGGACGTGCAATGGGACACTCTATTTAACTTGACGCGAAATCCCTATAGTACGCGCGCGACTCGTCCGCTGACTTTGCCTTCTTGCCGCGCGACGGGCCTCCTGGGGGGGGTACCCTGAGTGTACCATTGCTTTGGCTCAGAAGTGAGCAAGCCCTTATCTTCAAAACTTTGAAATCGGAGAATTCCAGTACTTAGCCTTCCCCACCCCCTCTGGTGTGGTCTTCAACATCCAAAATGGCTCCTTCCACTATCTATGTGTCCATACTGACACATTGAGACCCATCTGTTCCCAAAACTCCTAAGTGAGCTGACCGGGTGGGTGGCAGTTGGGGTGATGGAAAGGGTACGACGGCGGAAATTTTTGAAATTTCTTCAAGATTCCTAAAAAAGTTTGTCTCACTCGAAAGTACGACCCTTTTCCCACGGAAACTTTCCTATACGGCCCACAATGCATCTCTCTAGAGCAGCAAATACGAATGTATCATTGGGGAAATTTCAATTCCCGGTTGCGTATCACTGCCCCTTCATAGTAACTACAGTGCAGGTTTGGCGTAGCCTGGGTAGTATTGCATTTGAACTTTTACGCACTTGAAATTGTTGCTTTCAGGCGTTCCTACATATTGGAGTAGTCGGACCGTCTCTTTTGCCATATCTGGTTGCGTCAGGTTCTTTATTCTGCCGTCCTGAAGAAATCAATAGTTTAATAATAATTTTTTCTTTAACTCAGAATTTTTCGAATCGTAGACTCCGGCAATCGGCCTATGCGTGTTACAACTAAGGTGTACAGCATTGTATCTTACTACATCTGAAACCTTGCATCTGTTAAATAGACTCAATTCGGGTCAGCGCAAGTTACAGTAAACCACACATGCTATCCAAAAATCGGGTGGCTTTGTGGTTGAGCAGGAGGTGGGGGGGGGGCACTTAGTGAGTTAGACAAGGAGCGAGCCACTTACAGCACTGGACTAGCTCTAGGGAAGGGAATTTGTGGGAAAGGGAAATGGCTATCTGTGTCCTCCCTGGCGTTCTCCTCTTTCCTGAGCTTAGTTCTAGTGTCACGTACCATAGGCACTGCTTTAAATGTCCCTCCCCCTCTTCATGGCTATGAACGCCCACATCGGTTTAATCCCAATTTTTGCGTTTAATTTTCCATAATAAAAGTTTTGCAAAGACAAATTACCTGTATGAAGGTGCCCTCGATGTGTAGCCTTGGATCCAAGTAGATGCTTCCCCAATGTGGCGCTGCATTTCTTGGGTTCATAGAAAATTCATCGATATGAATGGGAATAAGAATCCAGATGGAAAATATGAATACCCCAAAACGCAAGCACAAGACGATTTTCAACGTGCTGATGCTCGAGTTCCGGGGTTCTGGAGCTTGGGTTTAGCTCTCGAGACAACAGGAAGGAAAAGTCGGAGATTAATACTTACCACAGCGCTACGTATTCCACATGCGGTGGCATACTGTCGCGTTGTAACGGACGACTGAGACCAATTACGGCTGTGGGAGGGAAGCGAGGAGCTGAGATGGAAAATGGCGAGTAGAACTGTGGTCCTACGAAGCCGTTGTACTGCAAGAAAGAGCTAATGATTCTCACACACTCTGTCAATCTCGCAAACATAGTCAACAGTCCGTTGCGCATTTCTCAAAGGGGGGAGGGGGGACGAATTTGATTTTTTGGAGGGGAGTCGTATTATGGAGCGTTCACAGTTGGCGATCTTGCGTGCGACTAGGTGATTAGGCGACGATTCAAAAAGAGAAGCATAGTTATCGATTAGGTGATTTGGCGAGTAGGCGATTAGGCGAGTAGGTGAGTAGCCGATTAGGCGAGTAGGCGGACAGAGGAAGGAAACGTATCGATCTGTTTGCTCCGCCATCGAGCGGATCGTCCAATCGCCTACTCGTCTAAAACGCTCAATGGGCGTCGTATAACTCAAATCAATGCGGCGTGTTGTTCGCGCTAAATGCCTAACGCATTATACGATCGCCAACGGGGGGGGGGGGGGGGGGGGGGGGGGGGGGGGGGGGGGGGGGGGGGGGGGGGGGGGGGGGGGGGGGGGGGGGGGGGGGGGGCCCATTGACATCCTACTCGCCTAAAACGCTCTATGGGCGGAGCAAACCAATCAATGCGCGTGTTGTTTTCCCGCCTAATCGCCTAATCGCATTTACGATCGTCAACTCTAAACGCTCCATTAGGAGATGATGAAGGTCAATGGTTGGAAAGGGGTGGGGAGGGTGGGGTAAGTTGGATGGGTTGCGGTGGCAGAGGGAGGTCGTTCTCGACGGTTTTGTGACGACTTTGGTGCATCGAAAAGTAAGCATGAAGTGGCTCTTCTAGGGCTGGGGGCAGTGGTGAGGGATCTTATCGAGTACCTCCCCCCGAAGAGAGTGGGGTCGTTAAATTCTTCGATTTGGAAACAACGGACGGTTGACCCATGTCACAAAATAAACTCACAAAATCAGCGGCTCGCTTCCTGATCTTGTTGCTGACAGCAGTAGGATCGATGTGGGCAAGAGATGTGAGTGTGGAACTGCTGTCGGTGACGATGTCTATGCCGGAGCCTTCCAGATGCTCCAACTGTACGGACCTCTCGATTGCATGATCTAGAGTCAGCTCAGCTGACGTAGACGACAACGTTGAGTTCAGTGCTTCGGCATGGTGTATCAAAACGCCCCAGAGTGTCACCCAAAGGGTGACTCGGAGCGCTGCCATTTCTCTTGATAAAATCTGAAAAGTCTTTGTTCAGAACTTCATCCTCAAGGATCCGTTGCAATCTCCAGCCGTGGAGCGCGACTACACGGCTCCCATAAAAGTAACGGGAGAAAGGAAGAAAGTAAGAAGAGAAAACGGAACAGAAATTCAGATGAATGGTAACTACTGCAACAAGACAACTCCGAAAAGAGGACAGCGCTATTGCAAGATACGTGGGCATTCTCTAGGGCCGTACTAGGGATAAAGCAGGAACTTAGGGAAAATGATAACTTCTCACGCATTCTGAAGTTTCTCTTCCACCGTCTCAGTTTAGTCACAAAAAAAAGATTTCTGAGGCACTTTTTAATGCACTGTCACCACAACGTTCCCGTACCTTGCGATACTACCAAAAGGATTCAGCAAAATCATTCGCTGGTGATAAGGGATCTTACAGAAACGTTCTGCATCAGACCGCTTGAGAGCCACTGATAGACGTAAACTGGTTCCTAGAGCAACAAAAGCACTATTTGAAATCCACCTAACGGATAATGCAGCGTTCAGAGTTGACGATCGAACATGCGACTAGGCGAGTAGGCGAGTAAGCGATAAGAGGAGGATACGTATTGATTTGATGCTCCGCCCATTGAGCGATCGCCTAATCGCCTACTCGCCTATCGCCTACTCGCCTACTCGCCTAATCGCCTAATCGATACGTATCCCTTTCCTTGTAGACTAGTCGCCTAACCGCCTAATCGCATGTACGATCGCCAACTCTGAACGCTGCCTAAGGCTCATAGGTTGTTCAGTTCACGAAAGAACGTAGGAGAAGGAACA